TCCGCTGTTCATGTGTTTGAATTCCAGATTTGCACGACCTCGATCCTTGGTCTTTCTGCGCTGTATCTATGCTCGCGAGTTTTATCAAAGTGGTATACTGCTTCGACCGACGCCATGTTGGGTGTTTCAACAACTGCACTTTTCAAAGCGGCGTTAAACCCAACTCATTCACTCTCTCATTCTCCACAGTCCCGGGTTATAATTGGTCTTCCCATGCTTGTCGTAAGAGGCGACTGACGGGATCGGGGGGTTAGATTCGCTGACTTGGTTGATGCATGTCCTCGTACCCCAATTATGAAGATCGATTTTCATGACGTCAATCACTGGATTGTCTGGTCCAGCCGTCATATAGCTGGAATATTGCTGAGTGCGTTGGGCGTGGGGCGTTGGGGATACCGATGGATGAGTACGTCATCACCCGGCCGTTATCACTTGCCTGCATCCGCGGTGTCATCCCCGCCGCGTTATTCTCGTCAAACAAACAAAAATAATCCGCAGTTATCAGAAATAATATACTATATTTATTTTGCATTGATAAAAACAAGAATGATATGTGCCGAACACACAGGACGATAACACAGATGTTCAGGTTTAAATTCATGTCTAAAACATTAACACTTACTAAAAGTACGTTAGCATTTTGAGACGCTCCCTAAACATTTGGCATTCACTGATAATAACAGCGAACTGATCGTCATGAGCACATATACATCTTTTATTCAAAACCATACGTGTTTCAGCACAGACATAATTAAATGCACGCTAACATTTTGAGACGCTCCCTAAACATTTGGCATTCACTGATAAAAACAGTGAACTGATCGTCATAGCACATGTACATCTTTTATTCAAAACCATACGTGTTTCAGAAAAGACGGATTTAAATGCACGCTAACATTTTGAGACGCTCCCTTAACATTTGGCATTCACTGATAATAACAGTGAACTGATCGTCATAGCACATGTACATCTTTTATTCAAAACCATACGTGTTTCAGTACAGACATATTTAAATGAACGCTCACATTTTGAGACGCTCCCTAAACATTTGGCATTCACTGATAATAACAGTGAACTGATCGTCAAGAGCACATATACATCTTTTATTCAAAACCATACGTGTTTCAGTACAGACATATTTAAATGCACGCTAACATTTTGAGACGCTCCCCAAACATATGGCACATGCTGACGTGAACTGGTGAAGAAATGTTGAAAGTAATATAACAAAATGAAACTAAAAGCAAATATACATCTGAGAGATGCACTTTATATATACACTTTACATCTTCACAATGGTTAGTGAGTGAACTTGGTTTAGCGCCGCTGTCAACAATATTTCAGTTACAACACGGCTGGTGACATTGCTGTAGGAATAAAGCCTGAGGTGATACAGGTCTTTGACGTTAACCACTTTGGTGAAACCCACGCGTAAGGGTGTGGTGCTGACAAACCAAGAAATATTTTCAGGGCGAACTGGGATTCGAACCCACAATAATCACGTCTAAGGGACGCAACTCTACACAGCAACGATTGCTATAGAACAAACTTCAATCCAGCAGGCACTGGTTACCCCGGGCACTACTTATAACGTCCAGACCTGGACTAAAAAAGGAGCACTGAGTGTCGTTATACAAAGCGATATTAGAGCTTAAGCAATCGTAACTGCCATACTCGGTCGTTAATGACCTGTGAAGATATCGGGGTAGAATAGGTCTTCAGCAACCCATACTTGCCGTAAAAGGTGACTATGCTTGTTGTAAAAGGCGACTAACGGGATCGGGTGGTCAGGCTCGCTGATTTGGTTGATGCATGTCATCGATCCCAATTGCGTGGATCGATGCTCGATTATTTACAGACCGCCGTCATATAGCTGAAATATTGCTGAGTGCGGCGTTAAACAACAAACCAACAACAAACAACAACTGCCATACCTTAACATAGACTTACAGGAGTCTTAAGACTGAGGTTGTTTTGTGCAACGGCACCCGGGACTCCGTTTAATGTAAAATGACTTCATCCTGACACCCCTCTGAATGATACAGTCCAATCCTCGCATCAGACGCCTTTTTTTAACAAAGCCAGCACATGCATGACTGGGCGGAAATGAGTTTTGGTGGAGCGTTTTAAAAATCACACCAGAACATGTGTTTTTTATGAAAATAAGTTTACGAAAATGTCTATGTGTAATCACGACTGTGACCGGCCCGATGCACGGTGGTTAAATAAAAATACTCCACGCCCAATCCTGCTGTTATTTCTTTACCCATTATTGAAATGTAGCTTTCGCAGCCAATATTTACATACCCCTGAATTTATATTTTTCGAATGTTCCTGCATAAATATCCTATGTTGCATACAAATAAACAAGGAAACCGCTAAAATATCTTTAGAGGAAAAGAGGTTTATATTTATTTTATTGGGTGATGTGAGGAGAAACTGGGTTTGACGTAGCGTCTAATATTATTTCACTTATATGCGTGTATGTGTGTGTGTGTGTGTGTGTGTGAGAGAGAGAGAGAGAGAGAGAGAGAGAGAGAGAGAGAGAGAGAGAGAGGCTACAGTTATATGAGTGTTCTCTAAGTGAAAGATTTATTTGTTTCTTGTTACGCCAGTCTGTGTTGTTTTATGTTGTTATCTACAAACTAGCAGTTCAAGTATTTAGTAGCTTATACTTGTACCAAAAGCCAATAAACATAATGCAGTTCTGTATCCAAGTGGATGTTTTACCCCGAAGAAGCTAATTTGAATTTGTGAGAGAGAGAGAGAGAGAGAGAGAGAGAGAGAGAGAGAGAGAGAGAGAGAGAGAGGCAATTCTAACTCACAACTCATTTTTTTCAGGACATCAAGTATATCCAGTTAATTGTTTACTTTAGTGTTAAACATGAGGACAAATTATTTTTTTCCAGTGTTTCGAGAACATGTTTAAAACTTTAAAAACAAATCCATCACAGCGACGCAGTTTGCATGTAATATAAATGGGGTAAAACTGAATTTTCCAAATGTGTCCTTGAAGTCTAAAATTCCGTGTTGATGACATTTTTGGGGGAAGGCGTACGTGCATGAATGAAAGCATTTCCTATCAGCTGTCGTGTTTCCATGGCAACCGTCACGTTCTATGCAAGAACTCACAATCTTGGCCAATTCGGTGCTATCAAAAAATAACTAATCGGTCTGTGATGACAGATTTACGCTCCAAATGATTAGGAAAATGAGTATTTACAGTGGGCAACATCTTAAACATATGATTTTGAATCCCGATTATTTCCAGGGCCCCTATAAGCAATCCCCCATGAGAGAGGTATGACCAATGAAGTTGATTAAAGAATTGTAATTTATCGAACGTCATGATAAAAAGACCTCTCCTAGTTCAAATACATTAAGTTTGCCTCCGCGGTGTAGTGGATAGTTCATCAGCTGGATGAGCGGAAGTTCGGGGTTCGCACCCTGGCCGAGTCATACCAAAATACGATAAAAGATGGTACTTAATGTTCCCCTGCGTAGCGCTCGGCATGTGTCTGAGTGGGGTATTCCTGTTAAACTGCGACATGGTATCTCAGTGGGCTAGCACTATAAAGCAGGGATTAGTCGGGGCTAGTTAAAGCAGCCACACGCACGCACGCACGCACACACACACACACACACACACACGCACGCACATACGCACACACACGCACGCACACACACACACACACACACACACGCACGCACACACTGGACGTTAAACCCCATTTCACCTCACCTCAAATGCAGGCGTTCAACCTTTTACAACCTATGTTGATATATTTGATATCAAAAGACACGGGGATGAGATTCTATTCATTGTCCAATTTCATTTTCAATCACTCAGTACGAAAACATGTATTAATTTGATGACCACGTTGACCTTTCTGACCTTCTTGAAATTATGAAGGCGCATCACCTTGCAATGAAATATCAAATGCGCTTTAAATTCGACACTTTTGCGGCCTAGATATTTTATGTAGCGGTGCGCTATTTGCTAGAATCCACTATCCAAAATATTGCCTTTACATGTGTTTTTTAAATTCAGAACATAAAATGAACGAACTGACTTTCTTTTGTTGAAATTGTAAATTGGTAAATGGAGTTTATGCTGTTTCGAAATACCCTAAAATAGAATGACACGTGATTTGAACATTTAAACCTTTAGCTAACGCATATGCCAATCAAAGAATCAGAGGTCAGGCGACATCTCCAAGGAGATATTGTTTGAGCTCACACAAGCAATATCTCCTGTCTGGGCAGGTTTGGATTGTATATGTCATTATGCACAGCTACAAAATCACTATGTCAATCATACTATCAATCATGCATCTTTGGATACAGTCAATCAGACCATGTTGGTATAAATCCCTCAGACGTGAGAAGGGAGTGAACAGTATTCCAGTCACATCACGCCGTGTCAGGTTAATGTGGGAGGAAAGCCCGAAGTGAAGCAGGACGTTCACCATGATTACGGGTTCAAAACCCACGATCAGCGGATCCTGGCACATGTAATAGACGCAACTCACTCAATGACTGATTTATGGGCCTCCTCGACTGTATTGAACTTTCAAAATGTTTTAACAGCATAACATGTTCGTTGTTTGTTCTTCGGATTCTTGGACAACTATAGTTCTTCGTTTGAAATTACAACTTTTACTTTTGTATTATTGCTTTTGAAACAGATATAAATATAGACAACATATTTGATATCACTGACGCCCCCCCCCCCCCCCCCTCATCCCAAAATCCAAAAAGAATTGAAATAAAGATGCCATGAGGCGAGTCCGAAGAACACGTGTCTAGTACTGGCCTAATATGAAATGTGTTGAACGACATGTCAAAAGATTCCACTTCATATATATACAAACCATACAGTCATGTCAGCATAACGATACATTCATGCAAAATGGTAATAATGGGGCCGACCATTTGATAATAAAAATATATCTCGAAAAATCAAGGGAAAAATGTCCGCAGATTTAAAAAAAAAGACCCCCCCCCCCCCCCCCCCCCCCGAAAAACAAAAAATAACAACGAAACAATAACAAAACCCCAACAAAAAACATACTAGTTATTTAACTTTCCTTTCTGATATAAATTGAAAATTATTAAATGGTCGGTCCCTTCGCATCAACAGTTTTACGTTTTGGTTGTTATGCTTTCCCGTATCAACAAGGATGTCTTGATGAACAACACTGAATGCACTGTTCTTGTCCATCAGAGCAATGTGAGAACATACGCATTTGGACATCAAACATTTGGTAAATGGCTGCAGAAACACTGAACTGGCTTTGCATGAAGATGACGGAATAAGTATGAAAGGGAAGACCGTATTCTCGGACTGAATACTGAGTTCTGTCTAGTTGAGACAGTTCCTGAGAGTTAGAATGGTGCAGTGTATAGCAGACTTGCGACTTCCATAGTTGAGAGGATCCAATGATTTAGTTCCACCTCATTTCAGCTTTATCACGCCTGTAAATAGTCACGTCAAGAACAGGCAAACCATTGTCAACCTGCTCACGCCATTGAGCTAAATGGTCCATTAATATTGTTACAATGTAAAACGTGTTGCTAAACAACGTCAAAGTCAGGGTAAAACACGTTGTCGTAATGAGCTGGAGTTGTCTCTCCTTTGGACCGCAATCCACTTGGTTGTATTTCCTCAGTTTAACAAACACAACTAGCACACGTCATAAATTTACACCGTCTTGTAATGAAAATCATTTGCTGGAGACCAATCGTACCACCATACATCGTCAATGACGTCACGCTGTGAATTGAATTCCTCATACTCAGAACTGGTCTTTGTATAGCACAATGTTTCATTATCGTAGTATAACCGTGTATATTCATATCATGATTCCATACCGATATCCATCCATTTCATGGAACAGTGTATCCTTTCAATGTACTGTTGACATCCATTACATCGGAAAGTGTTGATACTGTTTTGGCCTTTGCAAGACTATCAGCCAAATTCTGATTTTAAGTCTTAAGTTATCAGGTTCTTACAATATAACGTGGACAGCGTGGTGTGTAAGCGTGTAAGTTCTTTGGCCTTTTCCACACTCGGTTTAAAGAAGGACTCGCTCCACTGCCAAGTGTCTAATTCGTCTCTAAGTCTAGACGTTGTATCGTGCCAAAATGAATTTTTGGTGTAATTCTGGTATTAATTACGAAAATAATAATCACAAAGGTTGGCAAAATGTGTATTCAATGACTCGGATAAAACGTTGTAGGTCTGCAAATTACTCGGGCGTAGTCCCCCATGAACGAAATATGAAGTCACGGTCTTTGGCAAGACGTTCCTTGAAGCAGAATCTGGACAATGACACTGGTATAACGGGAACGAAGATATGGTAGTTTCAGCCTTGTTCTATTTGTATTTTAACTTGATTGGATTTCCTGTATTGACTGTTCCACTACTGCCGATGATAAAGGTTTGACGCGGCATACCACGCGGTGGTCCTTTCTCTTTATTGTCCTCCAGGCAGATGGATGAACACACGTTGAGCAATGTTGATAAATGAGGGCCAAGATAAACCCCATGAGATCTTTTTATGACCAAATCGACTATTGTAGTATCAATGGAATTGTCTGCTCTTTATTGGAAGCGATATATTTATCCCATGTTGCAATGCGGGCCACTAAACACAATGCTTTATCTTTGTTCGTCGATATGGCTGGACAAATGGGAGTTATCTGCCCTTATTTGAAAGCGATATATATCCCATGTTGCACTGCTGGACACTGAACACAATGGTTGATCTTTATGTATCAATATGGCTGGACAAACTGAGTTATCTGCCCTTAATCGGAAGCGATGTATGTTCCACGTTGCACTTCCGGTCACTGAAACTCAAGGGTCCCTATGGCAGGGCAAATGGAGTTATCTGCCCTTATTCGGAAGCAATATATGTCCGATGTTGATTGCCCAGTGAGCACTATAACAGAACCTAACGGGTAGTTATGGCAGGGCAAATGGAGTTATCTGCCCGTCATTAAATATGAACAAGTCTCTACTGGTCCCTCTCATATAAGAGGCGAACATGCTGAAGCCGCTCTGGCTGAGGACGAGGACGTCGCATTTACTCAGTATTTGCTGTTCGAGTAACGCAGTCTCGAATCCATCACAAGCATCGCGGTCATCACGCTGACGATCAATATGGCGGATCTTCCCCTCAACAGTCAAAAGTTTGTTTCCAAACTCTCGTCGCGCCATATCTCGCACCCTCTCGGCGTCCGTCGCTATAAAATATATGGTTTCTTTTTCGTATCCGCGAAGGAATTTCCACAGTTTTCTCACACTTTGTATAGAATTCACATTTGACTGATCTCCAGGAATGGTTGGATTTCGCCCAATACGAACATGCGCACAGACCAGCTTACTATGAGGCGTCTGGTTGATTTGTTCAAATGCTTTGTCAAGTTTCACTTTCATACTGCCGAAAGGTTTAAACAGTAAATTCCAAACATGACCAAATACCTTTGACTTCGACCCTGACCTTGCCCATTCCGGAAGTAACTTTTTGTACTTGGGATGCTGGATTATTGGTCTGGTAAAGTCCATATTATCCCTCAAGAATACAACATCTTCCAGATGGTTCTCGTTAAAGTCCCCTTCCACGAGGCTTTTTTTGAGTTCACCATCATCCATTGCGTTTATATGGTCTGAAAACGGGAGCCTTAAGACACTCTCGCTCACTGTCCAGTTAATTTTATTTGGGGCGAAGAAGTTGTCCAATTCACAGGGTGATAACATTCTGATGCCGTACCTCCGCCGTGTCACCAACGCTAAGAGGAACACCCCCATAATCCCCCTTTGTCGATCCCCCAATCCCCCACAAGTCGTTTTGCGATCACACAAGTACACCAGGTACTTCCTCTTATTTGGCAGTGGAAGACCAGGAAGAGGTTCCAGGAAGCTGTCTGTATCGGCTTCTTTCTCCAAACTAAGTTGAGCAATTCGTCTATGAATCTTGGCCTTGACTGGTTGGAGTATCATGTTTTCTTCACTGATTTCTGACTCTTTGGCACTGGTTGTTCCTGCCATTTCGGACAAATTCAGGTTTTTGATCCAACCGAATTCTGAAACAATGGGTTCCTTTGCTGGGGATGGCTGAACGACTGCTTCGGGTGACGTGACCTTGACCTGTGGGTCATACATATATCCCCCTCGTGCCTGCCCAAACATTGTCTTATTGGTCCGCTGAATGATGACATCATATAGATGTTGGGGGCTACTTTGTCCAGGCCAAGTCCTGAAGGTCAAGGACGTCGGTGCTGTAGCCTCGTTCCCGACTGTGTAAATGTAGACTGCAACCAGGATGGCTAGTAGGGTAAAGAGTCCGAACACCGCCTTATAACGAGAGATCCACTCCATGCCTGAAAAAGAGGAAAATATGTTTAAGGATCGATCATTTTAAATTCTGAGTTAATTTTTTTTTATTTTCTAACGAAAATAATATAAAAAGTAAACATTGCTCGCCGTACTTGCTGAATTACCTGGAAAAAAATGTGTTTGTTCAGATCCTTTCTGGAAAGAGAATCGTATGTCTTGAAGCAGTGAGACGAGGCTCATAAAGTAAAGTCGGTAGCTTTATAAAAATCCAATTTGATATATTCTTTTTGGTTTCCGCTCGCGATTCGTCATAATTTTGAAGTTTTTCATACAAATTTTCATCATGTTTTAAGCAAGAATTGCTTATTGGATGGTGATGTATTTAATACGGGTATCACCGTTCAACTTATGTTTTGGACCTTAAGTTTGCAGCGTATCGGCGACTGTTTTCAGCCTAGTAACGTTTTGTATAGCCGGAATATTGCTGGGTGCGGCATTAAACAACAAACAAACAAACACTAACGTTTTGATAACGTTTGTAATTTTTGGGTCAAATCCAGTTTTCAAAAGTACACTACGCCTAGTTCGCTCTGTGGAACGGGTTCCTGGTCGTGATTTTTGTTTTTGTTTGTTTGCTTGTTTGTTGATTAACGCCGCACTTAGCAATATTCCAGTTATATGACGACCATCTGTAAATAATCGAGTTTGGACCACACAATCCCGTGATTGATGTCATGAGCACTGATCCACACAATATGGATGACATGCATCAACCAAGTCAGCGAGCCTGCAGGACCAAACAAACAAATAAAAAAAGCAACTTTGTCACTTTGTTAGATAACGTGCCATTTGACAAGAAAATACAAATATCACATAAAAAGTTAGGGATCATGAATATTTTGGGGGATAATGTTATGAAATTATATGCTCAATCTTCACTACAAAAAAAACATACCCAAACATAATCATGATCTCTAACATTTTTTGTTCACTATATTTAGTTTACAAAGAATGGCCGATCCTTTGTATCCAGAGTCGAATATCGATGACCAATTCTTGCTGGAATAAAAGCAACACATGATGCGTAGATGAGAAATAGAATATTCATAAAGTACATCTGCACTTACCTTTCATTCTAAAGAAAGAGAGACTGAACCAGAACACGGACAACACAATAGCGTGAAGCTGTAGAAGAAACGTCATCTCCTCCACGTGTGACGTCACCGGTCACTAGGCAACAAAGTATTCTTGTTTATGACGTCATGGATTACAATGCCCTTTTATCGGTCACTATACGATATAAGCACTTGGTAAGGATATGAAAAGACATGTACAAAACCAAGAACATCCGACTGTGCCAGAAAACGTGTAACCTGTTTTGGCGAGAAGCCAACATACAGCCAACGAACACTGCCATCATATCAGGTCGCCTCTTGATTAAAAAGAAGCGAATATGACAAACCCTCAGGAACGATACAGTTGATATATTTCTCCTTTAGGAAAGATAAGAATCATTGAACATTGCTATCAAGCTCCAAATCTCTCAGCTGCCATGTGCTCTTACGAGTTTAAGCAAGAACCTGCTAATTATCTCAAGAATCCGACTTCAGCACGTTTCAACCATTCAGAGACATAAATCAAGGAGACAACTTTGATGTTATCTAACCAGAACAAAACAATATGTGGAAAAAAAACCAAATAGAAATATCGTGTTTAAGCGTCAGCTAATATTAATCGTCTGAACAACTTTCTAAACCTCAGTTGACGTATGATGAAGCCGCAGAGAGGGAGATGGGAGGGGCGCCGTTACAAAGGGGCGTGACCACGGTACAAGAGGAAGGGGCGTCAGTACAGGAGTGCGTGGTTACAGTAAGGAAGGACTGGGCGTCAGTACAGGAGTGCGTGGTTGCAGTAAGGAAGGACTGGGCGTCGGTACAGGAGTGCGTGGTTGCAGTAAGGAAGGACTGGGCGTCAGTACAGGAGTGCGTGGTTGCAGTAAGGAAGGACTTCGCGTAAGCAGCAGGGCTTCGCATCCTGACAGCCGGACGACCGTGAGTGAGTGGGTGAGTGAGTATGGTTTTACGCCGCTTATAGCAATATTCCAGCAATATCACGGCGGGGGACACAGGAAATAGGCTTCACACATTGTACCCTTGTGGGGAATCAAACCCGGGTCTTCGGCGTGACGAGCGAACGCTTTAACTACTAGGCTACACGACCGTTCCGTTACAAGTATAGAATGCCACCACCCCCCTCCCCCAATACACACAAACACACACACAAACACAAAAATAAATTAAAATATGGCAATTACTTGGGAGAACCTATCCAATTAAACAGTATCCTTTTCCACGTAAAACAATATTTTGGCATGTGCTTCAAAGATGGGAACACGTTTCATGTGTTGGAAACATTTCACCCACGCGCCATGTGTGTCAAAACATGTAGATTGTAGAGAGCGTCGGTAGCACTATCTCGCGCAATACAGTGAGTGAGTGAGTTAGGTTTGACGCCGGTTTGAACAGTATTATAGTTATATCACGGCGTGTCAACGTGATGTGGGTGGACAGCTCGAAGTGATGCAGGTCTCAGACATAACCGTTTCGGTAAAACACGCGGGCACAGGTATGGTGCCGACAAACCCACACACATAATCAGGGCGACCGCGGATTCGAACCAACTCTCTTTATGTTGCGCCCAAGGGAAGCAACCTTGCACAGAAAATTGTGGCAACTGGGCAATGTGTACCCATGTAGGGAATCGAGCCCGGGCATTCGGCGTGTAAGCGAACGCTTTAACCACTTGGCTACCCAAGCGTACCCTTACGACAATAATGGAGAATTTGCAATTGGGACTGTTCTTCGCCCGAAAACAAGACAATTACGGTGCTTGATTGCTGATACGTCAATTGCGAAAACTTGTAATAAAATCGAATCTTAATAATGATAGCAATAATGATTTAATTAATGAGGTCGGTGATGCAGTATCAGAACACGTCACCATCAAAGAATATATATAATAAAATATTTTGTTAAACTGCATATGTATACACGTGCCAATACAACGCCATGAAAATGTGAACACAAAGAGGACATATTTTGATAAATCCAATAAAACACTTTTTGTCAAATGTTATCAACCACGAATATCCAAAAGAAACTTAATATCATTTTTCGGTAAGAACCCCTCAAATTCCAAGACAGGTTATGTTGCCATAAACACTTAAAAACTCCAAGTAAACAAAATTCCATAGGTTGTTATAAACACGTACAATTTCAAGGAAAATGTAATGCTATATTTTGGTAAAATACTTTTGGTAATACTATAACATGTAAAAAGATCTGAGGAAGCTTTGATATCACATTTTGGCAGAAATTCCAAGAACACTTAAACGACATAGGTTAGTGTACGCTCTAACATAATTCCAAATTTTGATATTGACACGTCCAGTTCCAAAGAAATCTTTTCACCATATTATGGCTGAACCAATTCCAAATTCCAAGGACACATAAACACCATGTATTGGAATAAAATGTAAAACTCCACGGAAACATAATTATTCCATACTAAAAAATACAATTCCAAGGAAAGGTAGTTACCATATCTTGGCACAAATACATTATAATCCAAGAACACCTAAACACCATATATTTGAATAAGACGTAAAACTCCGCGGAAACATAATTCCATCTTTTGGTATAAACCCGTAAAGATAGAAGGAATCCAAGAACACACATATACCATATACTGATATAACACTTAAAACTCCGCGGAAACATAATTCCATCTTTTGGTATAAACACATAAGGATACCAGGAATCCAAGAACACACAAATAATAAATACCGATACAACACATAATACTCCGTGGAAACATAAATCCATCTTTTGGAATAAACACTTACAATTCCAAGGAAACGTTATTACCATATTTTGGCACAAATTCGTTAAAATACAAGAACACATAAACACCATATATTGGAATAAGACGTCAAACTCCGCGGAAACACAATTCCATCTTTTGGTATAAACCCGTAAAGATACAAGGAATCCAAGAACACACATACACATATACTGATATGACACTTAATACTCCGCGGAAACATCAATCATATTTTAGTATAAACCCGTAAAGATCCAAGAAAACTATAAGTACCAGTATTTGGTTACATGACTTTGTACACACTGGTCATCCTTGTGAAAAATGCCTCATCCTTTTGACTTCATCCTGAACAACCATATGACGTACCACCTGTGGAACAAGTCTGGCAATATTTCAGTTCCTTAACTACCAACATATCAGGAACCATTTTCGTACAAGTGGAACAAGTCTGGCAATATTTCCAGTCCCTTAACTACCAACATATCCGGAACCATTTCAGTCTATAGCTCAGGGTGAGCATAGCCAGGTAAACTGCCCTCCCCCGACCCTCATTCCTCCCTTAACCCCAAGTACTTACTCTCAGACTGGCACCACAGACAGCCAACTATTCCTTCCAATTAGCACAACAGTGCCAGAAATGTTGAGAGGATTTTTTTCAGTTGCTGATTTCGGCGTTTCTAATGAACTTGCTCTCCAAGCAAGACTTTTGTTGTTTTAAAGTAAAGATAAACCGTTTTGTTGTGGGAGTAGCAGGGTCGGGTCGACTTTAAACATCTATTTCATCCCTGAGGTATAGCTGACGCTGTTCTTCACTGATAACGCCTTAACTATTAATTATCGGCGAGACCGGTTGGGTTGAGAGGAAGAATATTTTCCATCAAATTCGTCAACTGGGGAGAATATTAGAGTTACATCTGATTGTAGATCTTTCAGCCTTATTAATATTTATATTTGTAGGATGTAGGATGTAAGTTTAAACTTGCTTATGGAAATACTATGTGATCAACTAAAATATGAAACGGCAATGCCAGAAAATAACCTCGATTATCCGCCGGAACAGATTCCATTGGGTGTAACAGGCAAAAAAGCGGTGCAAAGTGTATGAATGGATCAATGAAATCAGTGATGACACCAGGTGTTCTCGAAAAGGGTAAGTATTTCCTGCCCTGCCAGTAGCACCCGACGGGTGTTGTGGTGGATAACAGTTTTGGTTCCCCCTCTACTGGCGGTTATCTCTTATCTCACTTCGGCGTGTCCCGAAACACTGTCGCGATGACCTGGTTTGCACCGATACAAATAGTTTGTTGTGGTAGGAGACGAAGGGTGACCAGACAATCCAGTGATTGATATTATGAACAACGCCCCACGTCCTCGGGGTATGGATGGCAAACAATCGGGGTCCGGATTCAACAAATAACATATCACTTCATCATCATCGTATGATGTAAAGATTCTTATTCCTCACTTAGTACTATTAATACGTACTAGTCATACAGTGTACATTCTAGTACTAGTATACATTCCATGAGGTGAACAATGAACAGGCAGCTAATCAAGGAAGGATCGAACATGCATCATCATCATTATCATCATCACCACCACCACACCATCACCACCACCACATCATCATCATCATCATCATCACCACCACCACCACCACCACATCATCATCATCATCACAACAACCACCACAATCGTCATCATCACCGCCACCACCACAACCACCACCACCATCATCATCACCATCATCGTAGACGCAAAGATTCACATTCCTCACAAAACGTTCACTAAAAAGATAGTACTATAAATTTGTACAAACACTCCTACGGGTGAACAACCACATCACATCGGTTAATCCAAGAGGGATCCATCCATCCACACTGAAGACGCCGTCAGTAACATCTCATACAACGTCCTTGATTACGACCATCCACGGTGGAAACATAACATTTAACACAAGATATGTACTTCTGCAACTTCATCCAACACACGTACATCTCCACGAACCATGGTACGACCCAAGCGCTATCTTATCCGAGGTATTATGAATGCTCCTTACGCGAACAGTTACATGGCTGCAGTACCCCAAGCGGAACAACCGTTCAAGATACAAACATTGCTCTGTAAATTATAACCACATAATAACAAGTGCAAGTAAGCAAACATATTTGCTCCACGCACGCTCTGTGTAAAATGTGTCTAGTTTGCACAATTTTCTGACATATTTCAGGAGCGACACATTGGAAAATCCCTGCTTTTCAGCTGCTGGTCTAAGAAAAACACAATTTTACTTGTAACGATCACTGGGTATGTTGACCTATCTGCTCAGTATCAGACTCGTGATCAAGTACATATAACGTAATTAACATTTCATCGCCCGGTAATAAACACTTAACGATTCCAGATAACGCGAAGTGGATAAGAATGCGTTCAGCATGTTAAACAGCTCTGATAGCATCCCTACCCTATTTCTTTTTTGGGTGGAGAGTTCCTTTCAAAAGTATGCACATTCGTCACCACTCGCCCCTTTCCGTAACCTGCAAGAAGACTCGTCCCCCTATCGATGCATGTTATGTGCGAAAATACGACAATCCAATCAGAATGCGCGTATGATTTCAAATTGTTCATCAAAGAATCCCTCAGAAATATTTTTTGATTTTACATATGTCTTGCATCTAAAAATATACCCAAGACACAGTTTAATGTGTTCAATCATTCTGTATAATTCCGAATGTCCAGATGTGCTTTACATTGCATCTGAAATATATATAATATATGGGGAGATATATGTGAACTATTACACAACGAGTTGACAATTGTTTTAGGTATACCCGTTTGCGCTCAGACGGAACCCGGTCGCAAAAATGGCCATGTGAGGGGCACGAGTCGCTATTCGGCTTGTCACGGAATAACACGAGTTGGTCACGAATGAAGTATGCACTGACTTGGTGTTTAAATTTAGATCGGATGATGTCATGCAATGAATAGTTTGCTCTGTGATCGTTAAAGTGTTAAACAAGACAATGAATATTCTATTTTCGCGATGACCTGGCGCCATTACTGGTTTTTAGTGACCCATTCATACAATTTTCGCCGCTATTTCGCCTTTTACGCCCGAATGGAATTCGAGTCTCTTTCGGCAGATAACGGAGGCTGATTATTCTCTGCCGTTGACGTTTTATGTGCATGCTTTGGAAAAGAATCTTTTCCAGGATTTCAGAATGTAGTTCTTCTGTATCCCCACGCCTGTAAACAAGGCGTAGTTTGATAATAGTTAGCGGGCTGCACGGGTACTGACGGTTCCCTTTTGAAAAATCTTAATGAGTCATACTTTACACCACCTTGAACAGTATTTCTGTTGTATTTTGAAAGCACAAACTCGAGCATGTCTTAAACGATTATCACTTCGGTGAGACCCACAATATCTCCTGTTGTGCAGCATTATAGTGGTTGCGAATAACGGATTTGAACCTACGCTCAGCGGATCCTGACACGGCTGAGGGGCACAACTCTACACAGTTGGACACCACTGACATGCATGGTTTACGAGCTCATATAAATGCTGATATCGGACATAACACGTACAAAGTTCACCTCATTAAGTCCTAAAAAAGCACGAAGATCAGACGTATGTAAGATAGAAGAAAATATCATTTAAGCAGAACCATAGAATACCGTGATCGTTATGTCCTTGATACACCGAGGCCTCCTTGGTCTAGTGGATAGAGCGTCTGTCCGGGGAGCGGAAGGTCGGTAGTTCGATTCCAGGTAATACCTAAAGACGTGAAGATATGATACTTATTGTTACCCTGCCTGGCGGTCGGTATTAAGAAGTTAAAACACTGGTCGGCTCGGAGTCAGTATACTGTGTCTGAGTCGGGTTCCATGTTAAGCCCTACGGGAAGGTATCTCGCTATAGTGCAATGATCTTGAAAGCGGCGATGAAGACTCATTTCATCTCACCTCTGAATATAGGGCACATGTGTATCTAACCTAGACTTGCACAAGCCCCTAAGTAAAAAAATATTAGTTTTAAATCCAATTTCTAGATTATATAAATAATAAGAACAAGTTGCCCCTATAAGAGACTGGCGTTCTTGTACTATCCGCTTATCTAGATTGCTTATTATAAGGATAGAATTACTATACACCCATGGACTAGTCATTCACTACAGCCTTGGAACAAGGCTAGTATCCAACCCATTATCTGCATATACAAATGGCTGACACTTGTCTCGGGCATCGACTGGTCGTGTACAGATGCGGAGGATATTGTAGGGTGATGCTGGCGCATGTTTACATCTTGCTTCAGATGCTGTGTGTATCTTGAAGGAGGTTCATGACGCTTCCTTAAAACATGTAGTTGCAAAACATTCTTCTAAGGCATTGTTTCAACCATGTGTTAATGTCTCGGGAACCACATGAGAGGGTATTGGGCTAGCCTCGTGGTCTCTCGATATACAGAGTTGCGTCACTTAGGTTTTCTGCGATCCTAGGTTAGGATCTATTTTTTGGAATCATGTCGGTGCTCTTGAGTTATATTTTTTTATAGGGTCCTTCGGGTAGCCTAGTGGTTAAAGCGCTCGCTCGTCACGCCGAAGACCCGGGTTCGATTCCCGACATGGGTACAATGTGTGAAGCCAATTTCCGCCGCCGTGATATTGCCGGAATATTGCTAAAGGCGGCGTAAAACCATACTCACTTACTCACTCACTCACTCACTCACGGCCGTCCGGCTGTCACGATGCGATGCCCTGCTGCTTACGCGAACATATACATATATAAAATATATATAATGCATATTATGCATAATGCGCCAAATCCACACACTAATGCAAGCTTAAAGCGCGACGTTATTACCAGTAGACACGGGAATCTGTATATTTCGAGTCTGAACCAGACAATCCAGTGATTGACATAATGAACATTGATCTACGCAGTTGGGATACAATGACATGCCTCTACCAAGTCAATTGAGCCTGTCCATCCGATCCCGTTAGTCGCCTCTTACGACAAGCATAGTCGCCTCTTACGACAAGCATAGTCGCCTTTTACGACAAGCATAGTCGCCTCTTGTGACAAGCATAGTCGCCTCTTACGACAAGCATAGTCGCCTCTTATGACAAGCACAGTCGCCTCTTACGACATGGGTTGCTGAAGACCAAGCAGTCTGTCGGACAGACCCTGAATATATCCAACATACCCCATGTAAGTCTTTAATTAGTTGGCCAGACCATATTACCGCCGCCTGAAAATGAATAGAGTCCCTGGGCTCCCTTTTATAATATTTTATTAAGAAGATTTAACAATTGTTTGTCAGTAAACTATTTTCATTTAAGAGACTAGATACGTGTCTAGAAGTGTATGCTCCATGCATTAACACCATACAAGAGACGTGCACACAGCTTATGTCCGTGGTATGCTGACGCTCCCAGTCGGCTGGGATTCATAAACGTTGCTGGTTGGCCCACCTTAACTGTCTGTGTTGAGTGTAGAGACGATAACACATGGCAGACAGACACTTAGCATGCTATTTTGAGTATGACCCTGTATTATAAAGCACGGGGCAAACTGCAACGGATAAATTGCTTTACAGCGTTTTTGAAATAAATGCTTAAATTTATGTTCGTAATGATATTAACTGACTGTGACTATTCGTTTTGATCAGTGAAAATGTCCTTTTCACACGTAGTTCTAAAAAAATTTAAATGGTACATTTTGTATGAATTTGCATTTTCGTAATATGGTCGCTGTATGATTGTTGAACGTTAAAAGAATTCATCTCATGGAATATGTTAATAAACAGTCAAATGGGGTGTTCTTTTGATAAATCTTTGTTGGCGTCCATAGCAATACAAATACACATCTTGTGATGAGTATCCTAATTTCGTGAGGGAATCAAACACGTGTAAATTTTGCTTTTGATTATGTTTAAGCGGAACACTTTAGGCCCTACTGCCTGTCTTAGGCATGCCAGAATCCTTTGAAGAGCATTGGTATGAATCTTATATTCCCCTTATTATTTTATTATGTTTCTCAGTTTGTCAGCACCATGTCCGTGCTCGTGGGTTTCAACAAAGTGGTAAACTTCTGAGACCTGCTTCCCTCCCACATCAACCTGAGACAGGAACTAAACTCACCACCCGCCTAAGCTATGCTCCCAATATCACTACAAATACCATAAAATCCATCAGAGTCTTTGCAAAAATTATCGCCGATTTCATTCACAAAATGTTCAGGCAAAGAAAATCTGCATCTCCTCTAACAATATAATGATATAAATATTTGTATTCTGTTGTGTATGTCAATGTTTTAAATTAGTCATGTTCATGTTTTGTACCCTGCACCACGTGGGTGTTTATGTACAATACATCTTCTTCTTCTTCAATCTGACACTGAACACTGTTCTTCCAACAATTCTAAACATGCCGTATCACAAGCGACATATCTGCTTTGAAATTCTTTACGACAGAGAGATCTATACAACATATATACCAGGCTGGATGTCGCAGGCCAGCTCACACTACTGGCAAGATGACTCACATCAGAATATTTGAAAATATTTAAATTTCGCGAATTAACCATATAAAATAGAAACAGTAAAAATTGTGCGATTGTATGTGTTAAATTGCTTCAATCCTCCCCCGACATATTCTTCCAGTATACGGAAAGGGCCCAATGGCGAGAGTACAGGACAGAAACAACGAAGCTATTGGCAGAGGCACCCCCCCCCCCCCCCCCCCCCCCCTCTCTCTCTCTCCCCTCCCCAACACATCCTCTCTCTAAATAATTTTACTACCTACAAATACTACATTTGGTTTTCAAAAAAAGGGGGGGGGGGGGGGGGGGGGGGGAGGGGGGGGGGGGAGGGGGAGGCCCTCTAGATCCGCCTTTGCATACACACTGACATCACACACACATGCACAGTAACACACACACGCACACACACACACACACATCAACCAAAACACAGAGAACCTAAAATGGTCCTTCCCGTACCAGCAACACGTACAATCACTACCAGCGTTATCCTCGAAGGGTTAATTGTCCCCAGGGGCAATAGAGTTGGTTAATTACCACAACCTGCTAATGCATGTTGACATGACCTGGCAGCTGCGCAACAAACACAGATTCCAGGGCGCCCTTGGCACCATGCCAACTGTGCAGAACGGCAGCCATAGCAAAACACTTCTGGAGGTGAACATGAATGAACTTGTAAGTTGCGTGTTTTGGCTGTCCATGCAACACCTACATGTACATGCAATTTATCCTTTTTCATCTACTGATTTGGGATATACAATGTATTGAATAAAGATATTATGCGTAATATATTAGAGTTATGTATGCCTCGGCAGACTGCGGGTAGGGGAGTTAACTCTGGTCAGGGGATTAGATATCCAGAAACTCGTTTATCCGGACAATATTTGAGAAACAGCAGG